CAATCCCACGCGATCACCAAGGCTTACGTCTCGGAACTGAATTTGTCCAAGTTCCCCCAATTCTGCCACCGTTGGTTGGGCAATTTCCAGCGGAATGTACAGCTGAAGAATTGCGAACGTCAGTAACTCAACATATCCGGCCTTCCAGTCTCGAGCGGCACCTGGATGAGGGACATGTCCTCCGAACGGAGGAGGTTTCCGGGCATCTTCGCGAAGTTCGATGGGATTCAGGATGGGTGACAGCGAGTTGGTTCCCCGCGCGGCTTCAGTTGGCGTCGAAAACTGTGCCCCCGTGAGGGCAATCAAGACAATGCAATGCAAAGGTTCCCGGGTAAGTAGCCCTATCAAACCTCACCAAACTTGCCAATGACCACTCAAACAAATCAAGATCGGGCTCCTTTGGAGTTTATCGTGGCATGTGGGGAAATGCTGAAGCTGTAGGTTAACGCTACCGAATGGATTCTACTACACGACTGTTAACCTACTGTCTCCTAGTCCACACCATGTCATATCCACCGCTCTTCATTACTTTCACCGATATCAACAGCATTATGCTTCCCTCCAAAGAGGATCTCCTGCAGACACCATAGAAAGTAAAATGGACATTTATGTAGGAACAGGACAGAACGTAGCTTCCTTATTTTGAACAATGACTGTGAACAATCGTCAGTTACTTGCTACAACCGCTCTTCATTTGGCAACAAAACAATGCGAAGTTCCGCGGAAATTACGAGACGTGATCAACGTTGGATACTGGTAAGCACATCAATTGCCCGTACTGCACTAGTTTGGACTATCCTGGGGCTATCATCAGTCAGCAAAGCCGCTGATTGGTATCAATAAACTGGTGATCTTAGGACTGTGCATCAACAGGACGGGTCCGATAGATACCTCAACATCACCGAAGTAGGTGCATAGTTGACTCCTTTCTTCAGATACGCTGTGTCTGATCGGAAGGTTTTTCAATAGGAATACTGGGCAATCAAAGAGTCAACCTTTGCTTCAGAGCTGGTGCTTTTACGAGTGCTCGGGTTCGACCTGAATGTTGATACGCCTTATCCACACATAGTTTCCGTCATGGATGAGCTCATTGACGAGTCACTCCGATTGAATGATGGTAACTTCTAGCGATGGGCTGGGCTGCAACGTAGCCACAGGTTTCCTCACCCCAAATACAGGAAAGCCATCAGATGATATGTGGCGGTCAGCTTCCGCCCTGGCGTGGACGTATGCTGGGGATTCATTTCTATCCGCAGACATCTGCCTTGCTGAAATTCCCAGCCGCGGAAAATGCCTCGCCCTAGCGTGCGTTTACCTGGCGCTACGTACCCTTGGTATGGAATTGCCGAGACCATTTCACGAGGTAAGATGATACATGAAAGGTGCTTGTTGCACACTTGGAGAACAGATTATACTCAGGGCCATGTTTCCCGCAAACAGTGGTGTCAAAAGTCTGGTGGGGGTGCTACCGCGGAGAACGTACGGTTGCTTTGCAGCGCGCTACTTGTAGTTTTTCAACAATGGCATCCGTGAGAATGGGAGTAGTGAAGGAGTGTTCGCGACATGTAAATAAACTGATAATAATAGACCTGCAGAATCGTCGTATGTGCTAGACAATTAACCTAGTGCGGATACCGGTCGTTTCAATCGATGAGCAACGGGAGATCCGACACGTTTTCCAAGTGCTGCGCCACCGGCAGGGGGGCTTAGGGCTTGCGTCTGACATGACGTTCGCGTCGCCCATCTCCACTCCCGTCAGACCACTCATCACCCGTTTTTTCATCGTAGGAAACCATGTCTTCCGAGTCCAGCGTTGTGCGGTTGGTGTGCAAAACTCAGTCCTATGACTGGGGAAAATTGGGAAACGAGAGCAAGGTTGCGGAACTCGCTTCCGCAACTGCGGGTTTCACCCCAAGAGATGACGCGCCATACGCGGAGGTACGACCTGTATTATAAGGCCGCCGCTCTACTTCCCTGCATAAGATCCGATATCTAACCCAGAAATGCGCAGCTGTGGATGGGTACGCATCCCAACGGCGCTTCGGTGGAATTGTCTTCGCAAAAGCCGCTCAAGGATTTGCTGACGAAGGACAACCTGGGCGAAAAGCTTCACGCTCAATACCAAGGCGATTTGCCGTTCCTTTTCAAGGTTCTGTCTATTCGCAAGGCTTTGTCCATTCAGGCACATCCGGACAAAGCTCTGGCAAAGGAGCTGGCCCAAAAGAGGCCAGATTTGTACAAAGACCCCAATCACAAACCCGAAATGGTGAGGAAGCGGGACATTGATGGCCCTGGGACTCGGTGGGACATTGTAATTTGTTAGATTGCTCATTGCATGTCGCATCTTGTAGGCGATCGCCCTCACTCCATTTGAGGCCTTGATTGCATTCCGCCCGTTGAGCGAGATTGCGTCCCACTTGCGTTCATACCCCGAATTTGCCGATCTTCTTGGTTCCGAAGTCACTCAGAAATTCCTCGCCCAGGTGGAGAGCGCAGGAACATCAACATCTGCCGAGGACGCGAACAAAAATAAGGAAGCACTTCGCCTGTTGTTCAAAACCCTCATGGAAAGCGAGCAGGACGCAGTTTCCAAGCATGTCCAGCAGCTTGTCAGAAGGATCGAGAATGAAGGAAAGGCGGGCAATGCCGGCAGTTTGGACGAATTAGTGTTTAGACTGAACCGTCAATTTCCCAACGATATTGGGATCTTTTGTGCGTTGCTGTTGAACTACGTTACTCTCGTTCCCGGTGAAGCCATTTTCTTGGCCGCAAATGAGCCGCATGCATACTTGTCTGGAGGTCGGTGCTGCGCGGTGTACCTGCTCAACTCTTCTCTCCCCAAATCCTCATTATGTCCGTCCTTTGCTTTAGACTGCGTGGAATGCATGGCCGCATCGGATAACGTCGTGCGCTCCGGCCTTACGCCGAAATTTAAGGATGTGAACACTCTTGTTCGCATGCTTACCTACAACTATGGTCCTGCGGACCGCCAGATCCTTCGCGGGGACCGCTATCAGGGATCGTCACGAACCACTCTGTACGATCCACCTATTGATGAATTTTCCATCTTGCGGACCGTGGCGAAACTTGGGGAGAAGGAGACTGTCAAACCGATTGCGGGTCCCAGCATTTTGATTGTTACCGAGGGGTTAGGAAAGTTGATATATAGGGAGGGCGGTGTGGAAAAGTTCCAAACGGCCGACCAAGGGTATGTCTTTTTCATCTCGGCTGGTGTGGAAGTTACCCATGAGGGAAAGGATGGAGACTTTGTATCATATCGCGCATTCTGCGCCTGAGAATAGTTGGTAGAATCTACCGTAGACGGGACCAGGGTCTGTGATTTGGCTTTCTGTCCGAGGTACAACCCTTTTATATACTGTAAAGAAACGCCCTCGATAAGCGAAACTTACCGTTCCTGTCCCGCAACATGACACCATGTCAATGGCATTCCCCACGTCACTGCAAATTCTAACCCAAACTCTAAATAGTTGATGGCATCTAACTCTGAATGAAGCCAGCTCAGATGGCTTCCCCTGTCCCATCCAGTGGACACCTTGTTACTGCTTCTAAAACGGCTCTCCCGGCTTCCTTCTCCAGCCTCACAACCTCTTCCGGAGCGATGAATGTGTTTCCCTTTCTGTCCGCAAACACCATAGCACAAGCTGCGGCTCGTATAGATTTGTTGCCACCATCCTCCTGTCGAAAACCATATGAAGCCTTCCCCTTTGTAGCGGCGCATGCAGCACAGTGGAGTAAGGTAAATGTTTCCATCTCTAGGATCTCGGCCCCCGGAACTAAAGCGGGTATCCGGGATACTAGGGTAGAGTTGAGGTCGCGGAAAGAAGGATCCGTACGGCCTTGGGAGGAGTAGAACGAGTCGGCCGTAACATTGACACCTGTGGCGACGCCCAGCGGTGTGAGGTGATGCTCAAGGCGAGTGCGGAGCTGAAGCGGGGTGGAACGCAAACAGTTGGTACACCCGTCATGCACAACAACCAAAGACCAAACTTACCCAGCCCGACAACTCGGCATCCGCCGGACAGACACCCGAAATATTGTACGGTTTCGGACCATCCGTTTCCCACGCCTTCCGTTCCCTCTCGTGATCGTCCTCGTCCTCTTTATTGCTGAGTCCCATAAAAAAATCCCAGTTACGCTGCACCATCACCGCGCCACCGGTCGCAACCACAACCTTGCCAACTTCTGCGGTCAGTCCAATGCCCCCACACGATCCGAAACGCGCTATCAGGAGGGGACCAGTTGTAGTCGCCCGCACCTCACGGACCATCATGTCAATCATTGGAAAGCCCTGCAAAGAATTGATGACGACTTAGTTTCGCACAAGTTCGGCCGATACAATAGAGATCGATCGCCTCGAGTACCATTCCGATGGCAATCACGGACACGCGAACCCCTTCAAATGTTCCCGTTACCGTGGTAAACCCACGCTTGCTAACATGGGCAAACGCGTCCGCCCCTCCTTTGTCGAACATAGAGGCCAAGACGCGCAGGCGGGTGGGGTCGCCCACGGTAACAATCCTATTCGCAACTGCGGATGGGGAGGGATTAGGTTGAGCTCCAATAGGTCTTTCCCTCGGAGAGTGAGCCACCTTCTCCAAGACGCGTTCCCACATGGTATGTGCGGCCATCGTGGTCCGTGGGGAAGTTTGCGTTAGCGAAGGAAGCCATGGTTTGATTATTGTTCTGCAACAGCCGCCTGTTCGACCGTTCGCAAGGGCGAGCAGAAGCAGCCGGTCAAGCTGGTCAGTAGCGGTCGGTCGTCACGTGACTGTAAAGTTGCATAATCCATGCTTGAACATCGCCAGCCACCCAGGCCCATTGCTACCCCGTGTTTGCCTTTGAACCAAAGTCCCGGCTAATTTGTGACCGCCCTTGGCTGATATTTTTGAATTCCTTGGTTGAAATCTTCGCTTCAAAACACAGAAGAATCCCCTTCCAAAAAAGACAGCCTCGGGTTCCAAAAAGGAGAAAATAGTAACCGAGCCTACCAGGGGTCGAACCTGGAATCTCCTGATTCGTAGTCAGGCGCCGTATCCATTTGGCCATAGGCCCTCGATGAAAACTGGGTGGTTACTGGAAATTCATGACAGTTAAACAACGCGGTCTCATTTGGCTTTCATTTGGTTTTCATTTCCAGGCAGAGTGCGCCACATTTGGCGCGCGACTAGATTTCATCAGCAACCACCCGCGCTTTGTCGGCTCGCGATCAAGACATTGAACAATTCTAGCAAGGAGATTTCCAGAGTCTAACAGCAACTTCTTGAGTTCCTCTGAGCGAAAGCGCGCCAAATACTTCGCACGGTCGCCATGCTGACAGCTGTCGGGCATTCCTCCATGTCCTCCAATAGCGGCTCCATTTTCGAACACACTGTCGTCAAGGGGAGGTGGAAGATCGTAAGTCTGCACTTCGTGATGCTTCCGTGCCTGCTTTTATATTGGATGCTCATGATTTTACCTTTATGAAGGTATCTCTTCTTGGAAAGGGCGCGTTTGGGGAAGTCCACAGCGCCATTGACCTGCACACCACCCAAACTGTCGCCATGAAGATTGAACACCCGGCATGCAAGAAACCTGTGCTCAAGCTGGAAATCGGTGTGATTCGCCGATTGCAAGGTGTGTGAGATGGGAAAATGAAAGCATTTAGCGAATAAACGCGTTTCTTGCTTTTGAAGACTCAAACTATGGCTCCACCAACCAGATTGTCCCTACATATGCCGGTTCCTGGCCGCCGGGCGATTCTACGCCACCAACGACCCACACTCGGTATATAACTACATGGTGATGCAATTGCTTGGTCCAAAGTAAGCTTTCTGCTCAGGCCAGACATCTTTGAATCTTCTTTCGGCGCTGACCATTCCCTGATAGCCTCTCGGAACTCCGCCGCCGTTGTCCAAACCAGCGCTTCAGCATTGCTACAACAATGATACTTGCAAAGCAAATGCTCAGAGCCATCCGTGCCCTCCATGAAGTTGGCTTTCTACATCGGGACATCAAACCTGGTTGGTCGACCCTTGACTTCACCCATTACCGTTTGATGCTGATCAAATGATTAGGCAACTTTTGCATGGAAAGCGAAACACGCATACTGAAGGAGGGGCGCCAAGTGAGGGCACGATGTTACCTTATTGATTTTGGTCTGTCCAGACGCTATGTTACGTCTTCGGGGTCGGTGCGGGAGGTGGGTATCCAAACACCCTCTGCCAATTGTGGGTTTCACTTTAAATCAACCCTATCGCATGATCGATTTTGGCAGGCGCGGGCGCAGGTTGGATTTAGGGGAACAGCGCGATATGCTTCAATAAGAGCCCATCAGGGAAAGGTATCGTTACTTTTGCTGCATATTAATCCTTATAAGCTGTTGACGGAGCGCTGCCCGCCGCAGGAATTGGGGAGAGTGGATGATTTATGGTCTCTCTTCTATGTTATCGTTGAGTTTTTGAAAGGAAGCTTACCATGGCGAGGTCGAGAGAAGGTAAGTCCTGAGGTCCTGTCGGCCAAGATACAGCTTGAAAATCACGCGAATCCTGTTGACTTTATGCCACTTCCTCAGGAGCGGATAGGCGAGTTAAAAATGCAGTATACCAATCCGTCGCTCGTCGAAAATCTACCGGTTCCCATCCAAGAGATGTATGGATACCTGCTCACGCTCCGGTACGCTGATTGCCCAGATTACGATCGAATTGACGAATTGTTCAACACATTGTTCTTTGACACGAAAAACCCATGGGACGTTCTGTACGATTGGGAAATGCTGAACAATGACGAGGGACTCACTGCCGGAGTATCAAGTGACGCAGCAGCTCCTGGCGGGGCGGGTATCACGAGTGGGGAGATTGTTCCGTCCGGGGCAGCAGTGGTTGAAACCAAAGTAATACCACCCACGAACCTTCATCCGGGCGCATGGGATGCAGGACCCATGCGACGAAAGGTGAAAACGGCCTCGACGGAACTGGCGAGCAGGTGTGTTACAGGCACGCCGGACAGTAATTGGTGGTCGGCCAATAATCAGGCCTGGAATGGTGTGGCCGAGGGTGTTCCACAGGGGGAAAAGGCATGGGAGGAGGACGCTCGGCAACAGAAGGCGAAAGAGAATGGACGGCAGAATTTACAATCGAGGCCTAGGAGCGCTCATGAGCGACGGGGCAGTCCCGAAGGGTCTTTGGAGGCTGTGGTAGCGAATTTAGCAATCGACACAAGTCGTCCTGTTGATTACAGTGCTATGGGACACGAGGTATGTGATGCTGGTCCTATCTCGACCTCTTCCCATCAGGTTTTTAATCTGATCCTCTGTTCGCGATACCGTCTCAAAAAGAAACCAGCAGCACCATCAAGAACGTTTTTGCTTTCAAACCCTCCGCCATCTTCCCACCGAAATCTCGTCCCCAGGTAGGATTGATTTTGTTAAGAAATTTCACAGCTTCCTTTTCATTGACTCAATCCCAAATCCGTCGTAGACCTCCGCCGGGTCGGCCAACCCATGCGGTATCATCTCAAATCCGCTCGCACAGGTTCCGATTTCCCAATAGTGAGGCTGTGAAATTGGATCAGCAAGGATGACATCTGGATCCCCTGCATGACCAAACCATCAATTTCGCCAAAACATGTACAGAGATCCCATGTATTTAGTACCGGTAGGATAGAGTGATTTGTAAAAAGCTAAATCAAAGCCGTAGAGGGTATTTGCTACCCTATGTTGCATCAGAACGAAAATTTCAAGTTACAACCCATCTTGACAGAGTTGCCACACAACAGACACAGAAGACAGAAGGGAAATTCTGATCACACGTATTTGCAAGCAATTGTTAAAACCACCACATGAGTTAATCCATTCTCCCCTTCAACGTCCTCGTGATGACCTTTTCTGGGGTAATCACATGAACCACCGCCCCCCAACCGCTGATAGCATCGCGATCCACTGCATTGAGGAGCGCCTGCGAGATGGTTTCAAACAAGTCTTCCGGCTCCTACGTACGAAGATGAGAAATTTGGGACTCTCATTCAAAGAATCGAGTTGTCTCACCAAATCAGGTTCCCACAAGCTTTCCGCCATCCCATACATCTGATTAGATGCTGTTCCACTGACCACAAAGTCTGCCGGGGTGGTAATGCAGCCGAGCAAATCCATAGTGCAGATATATGGTGTCCCATCCTTCTCCAACCCGGCAATTACTGGCTCAACAAAGTATGGACCGAATCTGAATTGAGAAGTATGCCAGTGAGTATAAACTATAAGTTTTGCGACAGCTAACCAAACGGGACAGGCACCTTCTCTCATATAATGTCGACGATACCATGTGTGCGAAGGTACTGGGGGTGATATCTCTTTCTTCCTGCAATTTGTACATGTTCACTTTAAACCGGAAGCGTTCATGCCTGCAAAACAAAGGCGGGTTAATTTGGCAGCAGCTCAAAGGGACGCGGGTGAGGCTCAGTCAAACAATAGGAGCTCGAGCTCCAACTCACAGTGTTTGCACGTCCGTTCCCAACCCGGGTAGACCAATATAGACGTGGTCAGTGATAGGAAAGATTTTTTGGAAGTTCGTGGACAAGGTCAACGCCTGAATGCCAAAACGTCGGTCTGCAGCAATTGCTACGCAGTTTTTGCCTTTCATGGCGATAATCGCCGAACCGTTATATTCCATTGCTGACTGAGCAAAGAGGAAGTAGATAAGTTGAAACGCCCATAAGGCCGCCTAAAGTACACGGAGCGAGTGCGGGTTGTAAGGAGGGCCTACCATCTTGGACGACCTTTTGGGGATGAGCTTGCACTGTCGCGATGGGGGCGGGCAGCTCTCGGGCGGGGTGAGAAGTTCGGCCAGGGTCAAATCACGTGGAGGCAGCCCAGGCTTAAAGTGGCGCGGTTCAGCCACGATCTCCAAGACGTCCAACACGCGTCGGAACTCTCAGTCGCTGCGATGTGGACTTGCAGGCGTCGGAAGGGCACTGTGGGGGTCCGGGTTGGGAGTCCAGCAAAAGTGCCACCGCAGAGCAAAGACTTCGGTGTAGAACTACATACGCCAAACCTTCTCGCGTCGCGCCATAGCTACAATGGTGGGTCTTCTGCCTTTAACAGCCAACGCCGTCACTTAGACCTCCGATCGCTGCAAACCAACAATCATTACTGTACAAACTAACTATTTGTGTGTGTCGATGCTGCGGAGGATTTTGCCTTAGCACCTGTAGAGGAAGAAGACCCTGATGAGTCGGAGGAGGGTAAATCCATCACATTATGACGAGATTTTCGTTTCTTCTTGCTGCCGGACAATGGTGGGGATTGGTCGGGAGAGTTGGAAGAGATGCCCGAGTCTCCATCTGTGATTTTCACGATGACTGTTTTGCGCTTAGTGCGCTTTTTTGGCGGGGATGCAGACGCTGGTTCATTAGAGAACTCCGTATCTGAAGTATCTTTTGACTTCCGCTGTCAGGGTTTTCGGGGTTGAATGGGGTCAGGAGCGCCCGATGCAAGGCTACGCCCGGGACTCGTTTCTCAGAATGTTTGGTAGCTATTGGGTTCCTCACTTCCCCAACGGGATTCGCATCCTGTCTTTTCCCAGTCCCTTGTATGGCAAATCCGCTCCTGATATTTCCCCTGGATTTTCTCCTGCCGGTGCTCCCGCTTCTGCTACACCAAGTTTTCCCACGCTTTACACCGCCCCCTTGAACTGATGGGTACGGAGGGATCAGAAGACGCCAGACGGGAATGCCCCAAGCAAGGTAAATGGACGGAAAGCTGGACGCAAGATTGCGCAGTCATGCGCCACCGCTGGATACCCTGCTGGAGTCGCGCGTCTAGCTTGTTTACAGCATCTTTTTCCTCTTGCATTTCAAGACCGCATGCCGTCAGAACCTTCCCTCCCACACCTTCAAAACATAGTCCGGGAATATGCAGACTCCATACGCTCCAAGAACCGCGTTCGCATGAACGAGGCTCGGGAGGCGTTGAACGTGCTAGCAAGAAAGTACTTTGACGGCGTGGCTCCACACGTACATGTGGAACTTGCCGGTTCGCTGTTGAAGAGGACCGACGTCCATGGCAGCGACGGCGATTTCAT